ACCGATAGGTCACTGTCAATGAATTAGCAATACGATTTAAAGCGTAGTTTTGGTAAACAATTTTAATAGCGATGAAATCAACAAAGATTTCTATATAAAAATCAAGAAAATAAGTGTGCTGCCATTTCTGATCAGGAAAGCATGCGATATATCGATTAATCTCCAGTGGTAAATAGCTGTTCACTTGTTTAATAAGCGATATTTTGTTTGAATGATCATAGGACATGACATGTTAATATGTACGGCAATTTATCTCCGAACTTCGTGTCAGTACAGCATGACTAATAGGAAATCTGAAGTAAATATAGAATTAATTGCTTCCGATTTAATGTCATAATTCATCGTATGACTTACATAATTATCTGTGTGTAAGACAAAATAAAGAAATAGAAAAAGGAAATCGAGTTGGTAAACATGTAGAGACACATTTATACATAGCCTGAAGTTCTGATCATTTCTCGTCCGGAAGTAAAATGTTTTTATGACTAATTATCGGAAAGTGGGTCGTCTATCTCTCTGCTTTATGAATATCCTAACATATCGTGGGGTTGTTGCTTTTCTATAAATATTTCAATGGTATTTGTTGTAATAAGCTCCACTCCTTAATATTGCCAACTGAATTAACAAAAAGCGTGTTATTGGAGAAGAAACTAGGTCTCAAGATTTTACTGTTGAAATCAGTCAGTTATATGCCATGCGTGATACACGCGTAAGCGATCATGACTGACGAGGCAGATTTTTTTCCACGCAGTAGTTTGCCACTTCTTTCTGCGGTAGACCAGTTGACATCCAAAGATATAGAACCCGTTCTGACCTGCAATTTACCCATAGCTGGTGGGAGAGAAGAAGAGAATTCATACGTTTTCCAAGTGTATTAGCACGTATGTAATGAATTCAACAGGAATTCGAACTCGGCTCTCCTATTCCTCAATCCGCTATCCATTACTCTACTATGCCTGTTGCAATAGCTAGATGTAACCTAATATCTTTTCTATGTTTTTTCTTTTCTCGCACTTTTTGCATGTAGAACTCTGTTCTGTTTTCTTCCTTACCCGGCACGAACGATCTCCACAAATGTAAATGCAAGTTCAATATCTCTTTACTTTTATTGTTCATTCTGCTCACTAATGATTTCTCATTCTCTTTCACTGTCAGTAACCCTTTACATCCTAGTGATATTGATTGTGGTGATAAGTATATATATATATATATATATATATATATATATATATATATATAATTTTTACCCCAAGCAAGGCGGGAATGCCACTAGTACGTATGGATTGATAGCAAGTGAGAGTGAGAGAAAATGGCTGCGTATGGGGGTGAATGAGGGAAGGATAAAAAGAAGAACGGTGATCAAAACATCAAAGGATGTCGATTTAAATTGTTGAAGATTATATTTTTCAGGGAAGCAAATAAGAGGAAGGGAGTTACACTGTCGGGAAGGGCGAAAGAAACTCTTGGAATGGAAATGGCTGTTACATTTAACTATTTCAACAATAAATTGTTTGGACCTAGATGCCAGCTTAGTAGCATAGTTAAAATTCATATAGTCATGTCACCAGGGAATATAGTTCGACAGAGCAGTTGCCATGAAAATATTTATAAAGAAAGACAGAGAAAATCACCAATATCTGTGAGAAAGTGAGTGGAGTCAAGATGCCAAATCAGAATAAGCTATATTGCAGATATTTCTTTGGATTTTGTCAAGGACATTGAGATGAACATCACGGGCTCCAACCTATATATGGCAATAGTATTCAATGCATGGAAGAATGGTTGATTTGTAGATATGTATGATGGACTCCGACAAGAAAAACAAACTTCTGGAAAGACATAGAGAAACAAAACGGATTGTTACACGTTTCCGAAAACACCCATCTGCCAGTACGGCTAGCAAGTCTATATTAAAGATGCCCGACTAATCGTACTTTGTCGTTTATAATGCAATTATGCAAAGCATCCTAAAATTACAGTTTCTTGGATAGTGCGATAAATCTCGTGTGATTTGTTTGTTTTTTTTTTAACAAGAACAGTATGATTAAACACCCAGTAACGATATGTTGTCACTTTGTGCTTCCACAAATATCGATGTTTTCCGAATGTTTCTTTCCAGGCAATTTCAAACACGGTATGGTTTTTAGACGCTTTTCCAATGCAGTACACATGGCCGATTGGTTAGAAAGTTCGCTTTCATTTTTCTATATAAATTTAATCGGCTATTCTGCAAGGTAAAAACAATTACTGGATAAGAAGAAGAAGATCTCAGCGTACTACGTGGCGATAGCAGTCAAATAGCTTATCCATGAATCTTTTTCAAAGACGACTATTGTCATGCTATGATGGTGTCACATGTCATCATGAAAAATGCAACACTGGAAATTATACCTATTTTAGTGGATTGAACAGAAGCATTTAGGAAGATAAGACAAAAAGATTTATTTAAAATAAAAGTTTGATTAAAATCAGGAAATGTATAACATAGAACATTATCTTTAATGGAATGAAATGCGGAAAGATAAAATATTAACTAAATAAAAAAATAGCCACTGGCACCCACTGACGATGAAGTTTATCCTACTTTTGGTCGAATTTTATATGATCTTTCTTTCTTTTTTTTTTTTTTAAGCATTACACCCCGAGCAAGGTGTGAAGCCACTAGGATGTAAGGGGTTGCAGAAGATTTGGAGCAAGAGCAGATAGGAGTGATAGAAGAAAGAATGAGGAGAGGGATAGTGGGTAGATCAAGGTAACTGGAGATGTCGATTGGCATTAGATTTGAATAGTTGGAGATTATAGCTCTCAGGGAAACAGTAATTGGGAAGGGTGTTCCACAGGCGAGAGGTGCGAAGTATGAAGCCATTGCAGGAGAAGAGACGGCTACCTTTAAAATTTTCTACAGTGTAAGGCTGAAAGCGGGATGCCAGCCTCGTAGGGCGCTTGAATTCATGGAGTCTGGGAACCAGTGAAAGCAGCTCAGCGGAGCAATTACCATGAAAGTATTTGAAGAAAAGACAGAGGGAGGCGACATTTTTTTCAGTAACACATGTTCCAGAAATCCAGTAGAAATCATCGTAGTATTGATGGGGTTTCCTACATAATATTTTATTAGAAGTGTAGAATGTCAATATCTTGATGATGTCATTATTTTCCCATCGAGTCACATTTTATATTCCTTTAAGTTGCTTCCGATACTGAAAGTCCTCCGCTTGTATGGTTTCTGTTATTTAGTACAGTTCCTTGTTTATGATTTGGTAGCGAGGGAAAATGGATGATATTCGTCAATATCAATATGCTTCAATCACTGAAAGCCAATTTTAATAATTACCATATAAAGCAATTGTATACAGTTGACATTTTAGATAAAAAAATACAATTATATTTTCCAGATAATAAGGAAAATATTGAAAGACAGGGAAATCTCAATACAAACAAATCTAAGTGTATTGAAGCTGTACGTATTATTTAATATTCTATCTAACAGTGAAAGCTAAGCTATCTTTCACGATGTTAATGAAAATTAAATCGGCTGAAATGTAATCCTTTTCATGAATGTTAGTAATCTTGAGAATGTTGCTATGGGCGAACTTCCCATATGGCATAATATTCTAAACAGTTCCTGAACGTGGAAATATACTGAATCTGCAGAAAAGTATAGGTTGTCTGAAGTTATTATGCAAATAATGTAAACCTCAATAATTCAAATTTTCTTGAATAAATATTCTAACATTTAAACGTTTACTTTAGATATCAAAAAAAAGTTTGTGTTACTTTTTAGGTAGTTTAAACAAGGTTTCTAGCTAATGGATTTATTATAAAAACCGGGGTTAAATGTTATTATGCAAAGCAGCAAATCTATTTTTATTTCTATAACAAGGTAATAAAATCCTATGGAAATGTTCACCTATAACAGAACAAATATGATGAGTATTTACATCTTAAAAGAGAGACACATCTTCTCATTGACAACCAGGGTTCTAATAATTATTTATTTTTCAAATATTTTATTTCACAGGTTCACTCTGCGATATGATGATTTTTATTGCTTTACATATTCTGGCTTAGCTGTCATGTCTTTTGCCAACTTTTTTTTTCATCTTGAAAATTGACCATAGCTTTTCAATCAGATAGATTTCATAGTGAACATTTCATTTTCTTCGTCCTTGTAAAAACTTTACAGTGAAACCATTCAGGAATAAACTTAGATGCATGAGATGGAGAATTATCGTGCATAAATACAAATTTCACATTGAAATTGCGAGTCTGGGTCTAGTATCATTTAAAGAATATATTTTCTATGAAATCTCAATAGTAAGCCTCTCTCAGTTTAAAACCTTCATCAATTTTGCATGTTAAAATAATGGTCTGATTGACAATTCTACCTTATATTATCACACTGCCATGTCTTTGATGTCTTCCTTCAACCACAGGCAAATATGAATCTCATAAAATCCTTCTTTTGGCCCATCAATCATGTTCAATTAATGTCACCCAAAATTCGTCAGTGATAATTATTTTTGAAAAGGTAAATGTTTAATGTATTTTTGGTTCAATCTTCACGCTTTAAAATATTCGCTTCACTGACAGAAGTTTTCCTCGGAGATTCTTTGACAGATACCTATTTGCAAATTATTGTACTCCTTTATTGCTCTCGATTCCAACCTGTAAAAATACCTAAGCACTGGTCAAAGGTATTTGCTTCACTATAACTCTTCTATTTATTTTACATTCCGCTCGGGAATACAAGTCCTTTCCTTTGCTTCTATTACTCAGCTTAGTAATATTCCTGCTAGTCTTCTTCGTTCACATTCTCATGAATACCCTTGGGAAAAACATGTATCTTTGAATTATTTTCTCTATCCAGATATAGGTATAATAACAGCGTAAAGTAGAACCATTAATGTTGTAAACAGTGCCGCGTGTTTTCATTCCACGCGTATTCGCTTTCTTAAACGTCGAAAACGTGATGTCGCAGGATTCAGTCCTCCGTCTCACGCATGCCGATGGTTGTGTCTATAGGCTTCTCTTTAGAGCCTCCGCACTTCGCGAGCAGTAATTGACGGGCAGATGACATTTCGCGAAGACCTTCCTCATGTCTGTGATACTATTGGGACAAAAATATTGTGACGTCGGCAAGAAGACAGGAACACAAAGACAGTTGAAAAATGTATGAAAAAAACATGTATTTGTAGGAAAACAGAAGTAAAGTTTGTAGGAAAACAGAAGTAAAGTTTCAAATTGCAAACAGTCGGTTTGCGGGACTTATCTGCAAAATGCGTCCTTATAACAGTTTTATCTTTCCTGTTTGCCTTGGTTGAAGTAAATAGAGTCCTGACTCCTGTGCTTCAGTTGCCGTCGAAATCCTCACACGTGTCCTGATGTTTAGATGACGGAGTGTAGATGGGTAACGTGTTGTCTCTGAGGTTCCCGACAAGGAAAAAAAAGGAAGAGCGTTTGTAAAAAACGCTCACATGGGGATTTGGTGAAAGTCTAAAAATGTAGCCTGTGATTGTTTGTTTTTCATCCAATCACAGGGTACCCAGTTAGCGACTCCGTAATAATTTCAATAACACCACCTCCTCCCCCGCCTCCACAGCCTCCGTCGCTCAGCGGTCAGAATAGCACCTCGGTTGCCGACTCCGAAAAGCCTACCGCCGACATCCATCACCCCGTTCGTTCGTCTCACGCAGTGGGAACCGAGACAGCGAATGACTGCCGATTATCTCTCGCTTTTGAATACCTCTGCCACATTAGGTCCACTCACGGGTCAGTTCTATACGCAATTCTCGGCCATCTAGCCATCGTCTCGGCGAAGCTTGGAGCGAAATGACCACCGGACTCTACCGCCTTTTAATCTAAACCACTGGGTTAGGCGTGCTAGACACGCGTCTACTCGTCGATAATGGCGCGTGTTGCCTCACTCACATGCAATCCGCCGCAGCGTCTATCCGTGACGCGAAATGTTAATGTGCCGTAAATCGAAAACAAAATCGTTGAACATATAACCCTGGACCACCGGAGGTGATTGTAAATGGCTCAATATTCTATTTCACGCACTCAGCCACGAGCGGTTCTCGTTCGTTGTCGTTGTAGTCGTCGATAAGGAAACGCTCGTAAAAAAACGATATCTGGCTGATACTGCCAGGAGTCATATCCTTGTCTCAAATTTTAATCCATGCATGTGTAAGTTCAGATCACGCATTAGAACGGACGCAACCCGAATGGTTCAGGAGCAGGAGCTAATCATCGGAGGTGATTAATAACTGTGGCAATTATAGAGCTAACACATTTGAAACAGGCTGCGATTGGTCGGTGCTCTGTTGTCAGCGGCGTGCTATCACGCGTGTGGGCACACGCGTCGACCGTTTCGTGTCGCGGTGCTACATAGATGACTGAGACCGATGAGGGGCTTTCTGTCCTCTCACTGTCGCCGCCGTCGTTTCCTTACTTTGGTGTGCAGAGGCAGGGCCAACAGGCAGCACGCTCCATTTTGCTGACTGGATAACTCACTGGTCGATGGCAATGTTTTTATACGTCTGGTGACGAGTCTCTCGAAGGTCTGAACTATCAACTTTTGACGGCAAGTGCTAATCGCGGTTACTACGGGTAAGGGGAATCGGGGTTAATTTCCGCAGAGGGAGCATGAGAAACGGCGACTCCATCCTAAGAGGGCAGCAGGCACGCAATTTAGCCACTCCCGGCACGGGGAGAGAGACAAAAATAACGAACCATAGTCCGTCGTTGTGTTTCTCGTCTGTGCGAATTCCCGGCCATTTCTGCTGATATCAACCGCGATACTGCCGGCGACGTTACGGGGGAGGAGTGTTCGCTGCGTTGCCGCGAAGGTGCGGGGGTCGCGTGAGTGTCTGCGACGAGTTTCCTTCAACAGTGAACAAAGTTGGTGCGGTTCATGCGGCGGCCAGCGGCGTTCACTCGTCGTCTGCGTCACCATCGTCACCTATACGACATTTTATCGTTGTTGCTCTGTCTCGCTGCCGTTGACGTTCCGAGTCGCCGCGCAATCACCTTCTTTTCCTTCCCCGCCCGTTTCCTGTGGGCCTATTCTATCTACATTCACTTTCATCTTCGTGGTCATTTTGCGCGCCTCCGCAGTCGGTGATTTCTCCGTCAGAGATCCGACAGTAAACGATGGTGACACGCGATACGCCGAGGTTTACTTCAATGACCAGGCGGTTAGCCTGCGGGAAACGAGAGTTCGGTTCCGTGTGGAGTATGGTTACAAAGCTGAAAATAAAACGAATCGACCGAATGGCAACACCAAAATTGGAGCCTTCAACTTAATTTGGCTCAACACAGGAAAACTCACTCGGTCTGGTCACATCGATAGCTCTTTCTCAATTCGGTGGGTGGTGGTGCATGGCCGCTCTTAGTTGGTGGAGCGATCCGTCTACTTTATTCCGATAAAGAATGAGACTAGTCGGTTTTCTGATGCACTTCTTAGAGGGACGGGTGGCATAAAGTCACGCAAACGGAGTGATATGTCTGTGATGCCACTAGATATAAGCGCACTGCACTTATGGTATCAGCGGGGACTTCGCCCCGGAATTCTTGCAAGCTTCAAGCCCCCACCCCCGAATGGAGCCCGTGCTCGACTCTTAGCCGGTGACCTTGCCGGGCGGGGATTTTCACCATGGTGGTACGTCTGTCAAACGGTAACGTAAGTGTTCCAAGGCAAAATCAGCGAGGACGGATGCCTCATGTAGAGCAAAAGGGCAAAAGCTCAGTCAATCTCGATGTTTAGTGCGAGGCATCGATCTTTCCGAGCGGAAAGCTCCGTTCCCCCGAAAGATGTCAGAAAAGTTACAACAGGGGTAACTGGCTTGTGGCAGCCACGCGTTCGTAGCGCGATGTCGCATTTTGATCCTTCGATGTCGTCTCTCCCTATCATCGCGAAGCAGAATTCACCGAGCATTGGAATGATCACCCACTAATAGGGAACGTGAGCTGGGTTTAGACCATTGTGAGTCAAGTTAGTTTATCCTACCGATCGATACGTGTGTCACGTTGGCTTTGTCCAAGTCTTCCCCGTCTAGTACTAGAGGAACAGCGAGATCAGAGCAACGGTTCGCTCGAACGAGGGGTGGTGCTGCGCCGCCTCCGCACGATAACGGTTCAAAGTTTCTAAGCCGGAACAGCGACCGGTGTCGTCAGGATATTACGTATGACGTCTCTTCTTTTTACTCCGGAGCTTGCCATAGCGGGCTTTGACGTCGCTAGGTGCGGCTGCGGTTTTGGGGGTCTGCGTTGATGGCGGTGGTCGTTACTACATCTCCTCTTCGGCTGCTGTCGCTTCACACTTTTTTATACTTCAGTCATGGTTAAAATTTCTGCTGAAAAAATAAGAAATTTGTGAATTTTAAGGAAGAAATGATTCAATGCAGGATAGCCTGTTGGCGAGTAATTTCCAGAAACATTATCCAAACTCCTTAAATACGATTGCTACTACTGGAAGTGTTTAAGTGGAAAAAGATAACCCCAAAGTTTGATAAAGCAGAGATGGGGACTTTCTAGGTTAGCAATCGAACATTACCTACCAATGAAATAAGGAATCAATGTAATTATAGCAGTAAGTTTTCAGTTGATACAATACGCAGTATATTATGAAAAAATACGAACAAATTACGGGCGTATAACAGACAGTGAAAACATAATTAGCCAAATGAAATACTTTGCAGTAGAAGATTGTAGTGGTGAAAAGAATATCTAACATGAGATGCTGGAAAGTGCCAAAAGGTAATTCTTAGTGATGAATAAATTATATTCTAATACAAAGAAATATGTAAGTAAATAAGCACAAATTCATGATCTTAGTACAATTGAACTATTGTGATGGGAATTGAAGAAACGGGTGACACAACGAAAACCATGAAAACTCGAAGAGAATTGGAGTTAGTGCCAATATTAATTGGAAAGTTTCCAATGAGAAAATATGAAATATGTTCTTTTCAATGTCACATCGATTTGTGACTATCATTGGAGCCAAACGCAACAATACTAATCTTTAACATATTTTCACTTTTTCTAGTTTCAGCAATAATTTCGCAAATAGATTTTTAACTTAGGTTGGACCAGGATTTTTTCAGGAACGTTTACAAAATCATTATGCTTAAGATACATATAGCATTTACGTAAATACATTATTTTTTTTCTACACTCAATTGCTATAACATGTATATTAAATTGAATTATTGTAAAATGAAGACTTGCTAGAGATGGTCAGTGTCTGGCATCGTAGTGTGGTGATTAAATCTATGCTAAAGACTGACCCTAAATCAGATTATACAAACTCTTCAAAAGCGGTCACTAACTGTACTAGCCAAAACAATGAAGTCATTTTGATCGAGATTACGCGAGTGCAGAGACTTTTCAACTATTGATCCTCACAGATATTGCTCTCTCCCTCAGAAAATATAACTATGCATAGTTGGGTTATAAACCACGTGCTTTTAATGTGGGTTTTGAAGAAGTAGTATGCATCTTGGATTTGAAAGTAATTCTAATAGAGAATGATATCCGGATAGAGGCAGTTGCATAAATATCACTGTTTTCATTCATCCACTCTAGAAAGACAAGCGTGCAAAGAGGCAGTGAAAATTGTATATATATAAATATATATATATATATATATATATATATATTCAATTTTATGCTCTATTATAGGGGACACTGAGGTAAACTCTAACTGGAGGATTTTTTTCAGGTTTAAACACAATTAGTTTCATCCTATAACTCAATGATTTAAATAGCTGTGACCAAATGAAGCCAGTTGGTCTCAGTGAATATTAGTTATTTGAACCTTTTAGATTTGTACTATAGTTTAACAAAAAATGAAAAGTAGCGAATAAAACTATCCTAATTGAGGACTTTCAACATTAGCAAGGACTAAAATGGATGTCACAAGTATGCTGAAGAGAGAAGAGTGAATAATGGCATAAGATTTTGAGGTTACACAGTATTTGAAATAAAAAGTTACGTACGACCTCTCACCACCGAGCAACATTGAGATGATTTGTAATAGCAGTTGGACTTAAGAAAACTATTTTCCTGCACAATTGTTTTAAGAGACGCATTTTATAAATCCACTACCGACAGATGTCCTGGCTGCTCAATCAATTAATACCGAATGTTTCTTTAAAAAAATCGTTTACTATTCTCATCAATTGTATACTTTACAGAAATTCCATATTACAATATATTTTATTTGAATTATGTCTAAGAATAATAGCGTGTACAAGATACAATCAGATTCTGTACATTCCGCCTATTGATCTTAATTTTTTTTTCAAATTGTCTCGCTTCAGCAACTTCCAATGAAAAAAAAAATAGAGTTTGATTTCATCAAAATGCAATGGCCTGCGGCGGAAACTGGCAAATTGCCACACTTATGACACATCAAACCAACACATTTCAAATATTGTCTGTTACAACCAAAACGTCGACAATGTTAAGACTCATAAATTAGAAAGCTAACGTAGAATAAGAAAGAAATTAAATAAATATATTTGATTTTATCTCTTTATTGAAACTGTTTGATTTTGAGATCAGAGTCTTATCTAATGTAAATATAAATCACAACAGAGCTATACATTATGTGATTGACACAAAATACAGTTCATAGTAAAAATAAGTAATAATAGAGTGATAGCTTTTGTGTAAGATGTTTCTTCTCACTGGGCTTATTTATTTGCTACAGTAAGTAGATCCTGAGAGGATTTAAAGTCCTTACTTTATTCTTTATTGGCAGCTACAATGTTAACAATATAAGATACGCAAACGGCACAATATTTATAGCCGACCCATAGAAGACTGCTCAGAATCTCCTACGGAATGTAACGTAGTAAAGAGTGGAGAAAGGACTAAATATCAATTTTAAGAAGACAGAGTATACGTTTGTCAGCGAAAGGATGAACCCAAGATGTGAACCCCTAATTTCCGACGTCTGAATCAGGCAAATATTTTAGCGTAAATATATCGGTAGGTTGAACAGAAGACAGAAAATGTCACACCAAATCATGGGAATAGAGTATGCTGCCTTTAAAAAGCTTAAGGGTGCATTAAAATACGAGAAAATTAGGTAACAAGAGAAAAGATTACTGAAATGTAACGTAGTGTCAGACATCCTCTATGGCAGATGATGAAGTAACTTGAGGTAACAGAAATATTATTATACAGGATAATGTTGAAAATAACATGGATTAATCATGTGAAGTGCGATATTGTTTTAGATAAGATGAAAAAAATACGGAAATTATATATAAAATCAAAAAGACAGAGTCTATGGGAACCATTTTATGAGATAAGACTAAAACTCTATTGTAAATACGAAAAACACACCTTTTATTTCAGAAGGTTATTAAAATAATGAAACTAAATTGGGACCAACCGTCGTCATATAAGAGTAAGTACAGAGAACGAACAACGGGTGTAAATCAATGACTAATCTTCGTAGTAGTTATTTTTTAAAATATATTGTAAGGTCATCCTTATGGAAAAAGAAGTCCTTGCAGAATTTTAAAAGATATGTCGTCGTTACAATGTTAGTATTAAACACAGAGTGAAAACTGCCAGAACTCCGAGGTAGATGTGTATTAGAAAGAGAAAAAAATACTGAGGACTTTTATATTGTCATAGATTTCTTTGAGACAAGGGTAATCAAAGTCGGTAAGCTTTTCGAATCACGCCTAATCTCGCGACTCTAATTTAAATACGGATCGGATAACAGAGAGAAGAGCGCGCAAAATGTCTCTGTACGCTTAATGTGAAGGCAGACCTTAAATAACAAAGAGCAGACCTACGCATCTCACTCCTTCCGGCAAAATGTAAAATGAATGGATATTCAGAATAACGAAATAGTTTTGAGAGTTTTCAGAGCAATATTTTAACAAAGAAGCAGGAAATAAATAATGTAGCTAATGGTGTGGCTAATGCTGTTTTTGATTCCAAAGCTAGAAAACATATGTAGGGACACCAACAAAATACCGATATATAATTTTATACATGCAGAAAATACAGCTTGATGATTCAGAGTCTGTCTATATTTCCTAGATGAGGTATTATGTACAGTATTTACATTAGTCGGACTATTGTCCTCATCTTTGTCGCCATATTTGTCACAACGTTTCGGCCGTTGTAGGCTCCGGCCTTCTTCAGGTGGTTGGAATTTCTCCACTGCATTAACCAGGTATTGAACTCACCTTTTTTTGGGGTCTGTCACTGGATCTAACCAACGCCTTTATCCACTGTGTCATGTGTCCTTAGAACTTTCAGAGGGAAAATTAGCAGGAGATAACTGATAACTGACATCCATCAAACATGGCACGTGGAACTAGAACAGTCTACCCCAGTGATCGAAATAAAGGGTTCAGTTCGAAATTCCAACCACCTGAAAAAGGCCGGAGCATACAACGGCCGAAACGTTGTGACAAATATGGCGACAAAGATGAGGACAATAGTCCGACTAATGTAAATACTGTACAGCTTGATGATTGTATATTAATGTATGAGGTATGCTACTATTTCAGCTAATTGATAATGATTGTCCAAACGCAGCTAGAAACAACGCAGTTTTTTTTATCTTGATTTCACTTGTTTATAAACTGTAGAATTTCATCACTGTACAGAAGAAAATGTTGAGGGCAAAAACGCTTTCCTGTCGAGTGCTGCATTTGTAGATGTAAAAAAGAGAAAAAAAAGAAGAAAATTTTTTTACTACTGAATTAGGTAGGCAGGTTCATGTAAATTACCTTCTGTTACCAAACGCGTTTCCTGGTCCACTGAGAGGAAATAGATTGCATAAAAAATATTCTAATCCATTACCACGCTCCACGAATTAAAACCTGGAAAGTGTCCAGCAAAATTTTATAAAAGCGACATTTTCCTAACAATACAGATTTCGGCGAGGAGTCTATCGGTGTGTACATGGATATTTGGGCATTGTGAACTTTTATTATGCAAATATATAACGGACTTATCTAAATACAAACAATTTTAATCTGTCATTCAGAGAATAATAAAGAAAACATTTTGCATCACTAAACTTAAATAAATTATCAACATAAACGTTCAGTGATTTAAATTATGCAATAGAAATAAGAAAGTGAATATATATATATATATATATATATATATATATATATATATATATATATATATATATATATATATATATATATATATATATATATGAAGAAATAAAAGGAACTATGAAC